CATCATTGGGCCTGTTTAATCCATTCAGTCTGTGTCTTTTTAATTGGAAGATTTAATACAGTCACATTCAAAAGTATTAGTGATAAGTAATGGACGATTCCTATCACCTTTTCTTCAAAATTTCTTTTGTTTACTTTGAATATCCTTTATTCTTTATCTGGTGGGTTTTATACTTTCTCATATTTCATAAATGCAATTTTCTTTGTTTCTGGATGTAGAATATATTTGTAACACTAATATGGTAGTAATGAATTACTTAATTTTTGATTATATATGGAGGTTTGCTTTATTGGGTTCAGTATTCTTGGTTGGGAGTTCTTTACTTTTGGAACTTGAAGTAGATCATTGTATTCCTTCCTGGCCTGTAAGGTTTCTACTTAAGAATCTGCTGTTGGGACCGGCACTGTGGTGTAGTAGGTAAAACACTACCTGCAGTGCCAGCATCCCCTGTGGGTGCCGGTTCGAGTCCTGGCTGCTCCACTCCCATTCCAGCTCTCTGCTGTGGCCTGAGAAAGCAGTAGAAGTTGGCCCAAGTCCTTGGGCCCCTGCATCAGCATGGGAGACCGGGAAGAAGCTCCTGGATCCTGGTTTCAGATCAGCACAACTTCAACTGTTGCGGCCATCTGGGGAGTGAACCAGCAGATAGAAGACCTCTCTCTCTCTCTCTCTCTCTCTCTCTCTGCCTCTGCCTCTCTATAACTCTGCCTTTCAAATAAGTAAATAATTTTTTTTTCAAAACAAAGAATCTGTTGTTAATCTCATATTAGTTACCTTAAAATGGACTTAGTGTTTTTGGCTTGCAAATTTTAGAATTCTCTATTTTTAGTGTACGTTTGAGAGTTTGACTATAACCTATCCTGGTAAAAATATTCTCTGGCCATGTGTATATAGGTTTTTTTTTAAAGATTTATTTATTTATTTGAAAACTAGATTTATATAGAGAGGGAGAGAGACAGAGAGAGAGAGAGAGAGAGAGAGAGATTCCATCCACTGGTTCACTCAACAGATAGCCACAGTACTGGTGCTGGGCCAGGCTGAAACCAAAAGCCAAAAGCTTCTTCCAAGTATCCCTGATACTTGGGCTAAGGCCCAAGCATTTGGGCCAATTTCTGTTACTTTTTCAGGTATATTAGCAGGGAGCTGGATCAAAAATGGAGCATCTGGGACTAAAACAGGCACCCATATGGGATGCTGGCATTGCAAGCAGAGGCTTTATCTGCTATGTCACAGCACCTGCCCTAAATGTAAGGTGTTAACAATCTCCTATATTTTAATGTCCACATCTTTCTCCAGATTTACAATGTTTTCATCTATTAGTTCATTGAATAGATTTTCTGTGCCTTTACTCTTGCCTCTCCTTCAGGAATTTCCAAAGTTTGAATACTGGTTTATAATCTTAGAATTGCAAAATAATGTTCATGGAAAATGGAATTAAAAGATAGTTATTTTGGTGTAAAAATTTTTCAAAGTCCATGTATATGGGGAATCTTCAAAAACTGCATAGAATTGTGTATAAAGAAAAAAACACTGCCAGCGCCGCGGCTCAATAGGCTAATCCTCTGCCTACGGCGCGAGCACACAGGGTTCTAGTTATGGTCGGGGCGCCGTTTTCTGTCCTGGTTGCCCCTCTTCCAGGCCAGGTTTCTGCTGTGGCCCAGGAGTGCAGTGGAGGATGGCCCAAGTGCTTCGGCCCTGCACCCGCATGGGAGACCAGGATAAGCACCTGGCTCCTGCCTTCGGATCAGCGCGGTGCGCTAGCCACAGCGCGCCAGCCTTGGCAGCCATTGGAGGGTGAAGCAACGGCAAAGCAAGACCTTTCTCTCTGTCTCTCTCTCACTGTCCACTCTGCCTGTCAAAACAAACAAACAAACAAAACAAAACAAAACAAAAAAACTGAGGGCTGGCACTGTGGCGTAGCAGGTAAAGCTGCCTGTAGTGCTAGCATCCCATATGGGCGCCAGTTCGTGTCCTGGCTGTCTCACTTCCGATCCAGGTCCCTGCTATGGTCTGGGGAAGCAGCATAAGATGGCCCAAGTCCTTGGGCCCTTGCACTCATGTGGGAGACCCAGAAGAAACTCCTGGCTTCGGATTGGCGCAGCTCCAGCCATTGTGGCCAAATGGGGAGTGAACCAACCAATGGATGGAAGACCTGCCTCTCTCTCTCTCTCTACCTCTCTTTCTGCCTATCTTTATCATTTTGGGTAACTCTGACTTTGAAGTAAGTAAATAAATCTTTAAAAAAAAAAAAAAGAAAAAAACTGGGCTGACACTGCGGCATAGTGGGTGAGGCTACCACCTATAGTGCCTACATCCCATATGGGTGCCATTTCAGGTCCTGACTGCTCCACTTCTGATCCATCTTTCTGCTGTGGCCTTGGAAAGCAATAGAAGATGGCCCAGGTCTTTTGGCTCCTGCACCTGTGTGGGAGACCTGAAAGAAGCTCCTGGCTCCCGGCTTCAGATTGGCCTGGCTCCAGCCATTGCAGTCATTTGGGGAGTGAACCAGCAGATGGAAGACTTCTCTCTCTCTGCCTCTGGCTCTCTGTAAACCTGCCTTTCAAATGAATAAATAAATCTTTTAAAAAAGAAAAAAAATTCAAAATATTTTGCACCAAAATAAGCTTACTTTTAATTCAAATATCTATGTGCATTTTGAAGTATACAATATCATTTCTTTGTTCCTTTCTATGACTGAATGGTATTCTATCATATAGCAATACCATAATTTTCTTGTCTATCTACCAGTTGAGGGATATTTAGGTTGTTTACAAGTTTTGGAAATTATGAATAAGCTTTGTGTATACTCAGGCTATGGGAAAGAAAGAGTTATTTATTTATTTATTAAGGAAGAACATGACAGAGAAAGATATATATATATATATATATATCAATTTTTAATCTGCTGATTCATCCCTAAATGACATAACAGCTAGGTTTGGGAGAAACCAAAGCCAGGATTCAGGAACTCCATCTGGGTCTGTGACATGGGAGGCAGGGGCCCACGCACTGGCACAGTCATCTACTTCCTTCCCAGGCACATTAACAGGATGATGGATTGAAAGCAAAATAGCTAGGACTTGAACTAGCACTCTAAAACAGAACACCAGCATGGCAAGCAGCAGTTTAACCCACTCTGCCACAATGCCAACTCCCGTTCTTTTAAATTTATTTCTCTTTTTACATTTTTTGTGATATTTTAGAGATTTTTAAAGACATGTTCAAATTCTGATACTTTTCTGCTTTACCCTGTTGTTGAGTCTTTGAACTGTATTTTTTATTTGTTATTGGCTTTACTGAGTTTTTTTCTTTTTAATTTCTAAGCTTTGGGTCTTTTTGTAACAATCTCTATCTCTGCTGATTTTCTCATTCATGTTATACATTTCATTTTTTTATTTCATTTCCTGATTTCATTTAGCTGTGTTCTCTTGTTTATCTTTTTAAAGATAGAAGTTAGAGAGAGAGACAGACAAAGAGATCTTATATCCATTGGTTCACTCCCCAAATGGCTTTAGTGGTTGGGTCCAAGCCAAGCCAGAGCCAGGAGCCAGGAACTCCACCCAAGTCACTTATTTTAGTGGCAGAGGCCCAAGTTTGGTTTACCTTCTGGTGCTTTTCCAGGCACATTAGCAAGCATAACTAAAACCAGTGCTCTGATGTGTGATGCCAGCATCAGAGGTGGCAGCTTACTCTGTAGCAGCACAGTTCCAGCCCCTCTTCTGTATATCTTTGAGTGTCCTTATAATCTTCTTCTGAATTCTTTATTAGGAATTTGTATATCTGCCTTTTTTTTTTTGTAGTGGGACACTAAAGCATTGTTGTATTCCTTTTGGATATCATATCACCTTGGATTTTCTATTTGTTCTGGTACATTGATTTTCATGTATCTAGCAGAGACTTTATGTCTATTTTTAAAAGTGGCTTTTGTGGAATATAGGATTTTTTTCTTGAACTTGTAACTTTATGTGTTGGTTTAGTAGCCTTCTTTGCCTTTAGTTTCACTTAGACATCATAATATAGTCTTCCTATATTTTTATTACTGTAGTCAGTAGTGGCAGCATCTGAGGCCTGGGGTACTCCTGGAGCACAGTAAGGTTGGTCAGGTCCCTGGTGTGCAGTACCGCAGACATCTCCTGAATGAGGCACTGGAGTTGCAGGGGCTCAGAGCAAGCCCAGCTGGCTCTGGGAGCAGGCTGCTGTGTAGTCCCTCAATCACCATCTCTCTGGAGCTGCAGTTATGAGTAAAGCACCAGCACTAAACAAAAGCCAGAATAGACCCAGGAACGTGTTGATCCTGTAGACTTGCAGCCACTTTCCAAGGAGGGGCCAGAGCTGCAGGAGTGGCGCTGGCATTGGCACTGGAAGAGGTGAGGCCTGTGGATGCCAGCCACCACCTGAAGTAGCAGTTGGAATATTGGGAAAGGTGCTGGCTCTGAGACATGTGTTGCACTTGCATAATCCCCAGTGCTCATACAGTCCTGAGCTCATGCACAGGTCTCTGCAGTGATAGGAAGAATGGGAACGCTGCTGAGGAGTACTGGTACATACAGTCCTCGGGAGCAGTAAGCCATGCCCAGTGGTGGGGTGAGGGGTGAAGCTTCAGATCTGAGGGACAGCTATCCCTTCTTCTAGAGTTGTGTTGTTGTTGTGTGTTTTTTTAACAGGTAGAGTTATAGACAGTGAGAGGGAGAGACAGGGAGAAAGGTTTTCCTTCCTTTGGTTCACTCCCCAAATGGCCGCAACGGCCAGCACTGTTCTGACCTGAAGCCAGGTGCCAGGTGCTTCTCCTGGTCTCCCATGGGGTGCAGGGCCCAAGCACTTGGGCCATCCTCCACTGCACTCCCGGGCCACAGCAGAGAGCTGTACTGGAAGAGGGGCAACTGGGACTAGAACCTGATACCCATATGGGATGCCGGCGCCGCAGGTGGAGGATTAACCAAGTGAGCCATGGTGCCAGCCCAACTTCTGAAGTTTGCTTGCTAGATTCCCTTGCTGCTCCGTACCCCTGTCCCTTGTAGTGTGGATCATAGCCTGGGCTAGAGTCCAGCATCACCTTTGCTCTGCTGGGTTTGGCTGGGTTGGTGAGGCTGCAATCTGCTTCTCTTAGTGTGATGGAATGTCTGTAGGGCCCCAGAGTTAGAGATTTGCAAGGCTTTGTGTAGATCCTGAACATGACTTCCATCTCAAGACAGTACTGCTCTGTGGTAGACTGGCTTTGCTATTGTGAAGCATAGATATAATGGGAGTTGTCTCTCTGAATCTAATGGACTTTGAGTTCTCCAGATGGCTTTCCTAACTGAGCTCCTAGTCTATGGTTACATATATGCCGTATAAGGCATATATGCAGATAGGCTCTGCTAAGACTCTCCTAATTATCCATTTTTCTGCTCTGGTAATTCCACTGAGTCCTGGGGTGAAGAGGGCCTCAGTTGCTGGTTAGGTTTGTTTCCTGGTTTATGCTTCCATCCCAGTTTTCTGTGTCCTGCTAAGTTCTAGTTATACCTCACTGAGACCTGGTGTTCTTCCTTGAGCACTCACACTGTAATGCTATATTTATTTGTTGTTTTAGTTTTTCTCTATCAAGTAGGTGAACATTGGGCACCTCTTTCTGACCATCTTGGTCTGATCACCATCATTTATTATGTGTAAGTCACGTTACCTGCATTTGTGACCCCTTTTATTCTCTTCAAACCATGATATATATAGAAGTTGAATCTGAGGCCAAGAAGAATTTAGTATCTTTTCTCAAGTTCTCACAATAATTGGCAGAGACGGCGCTGCGGCTCAATAGGCTAATCCTCCACCTTGCGGCGCCGACACACCGGGTTCTAGTCCCAGTCGGGTGCCGGATTCTGTCCTGGTTGCCCCTCTTACAGGCCAGCTCTCTGCTGTGGCAGTGGAGGATGGCCCAAGTAATTGGGCCCTGCACCTGCATGGGAAACCAGGAGAAGCACCTGGCTCCTGCCTTTGGATCAGCGCGGTATGCTGGCCACAGCGCGCCGGCCATGGCGGCCATTGGAGGGTGAACCAATGGCAAAGGAAGACCTTTCTCTCTGTCTCTCTCTCTCACTGTCCACTCTGCCTGTCAAAAAAAAAAATAATTGGCAGAGACTTTAGCTTCAAAAATCAATTATATCTATAAGTAAATTTTAAATATTAGCTATCAACAAAACATTCTAAAACTGGATTTGATTTGTCATGTGCAGATGCAGCTAGAGCGTTAAGAACCACAAGATATTAGGCACAAACAGAAAAGGGAGACAGAAGTCATATATTAATTCTCAGCTATGAAAGAAAAAAAAAAGGATAAGAAGAGGGCATTGAAGGGCCAGATATTGTTTCAAGTTCAGAAGTATATCAGAAACTTTATTCAGGTCAGGGGCAAGGTGAGATTATGTGTTAGAGGAAGCTAGGCCACAAACAGTAAAATTAAATAATGCATAGTCAAAGCAGTGATCAAGGACAAGAAAAGAACAACAAAAGCTAGTGATGTTCAGAAAACAAGGGCAGTCCGTACTCCATCTGGAATTAAATATGTAGCTAGATTCTCATGGAAGGGAGGCCTACATTAAAGGTCAAGACTCTAAATCCCCATGCATAAATTTTATTTATACCTGACCTCTTGTACAATGTGCCAATGTGTTTCCCATGTGAACTGAAGTGACCCTGGTGACTACCTGGCACTGATTGGGTTCCTATGTTGTAGAAAGATCTAGTCTCTATGTGCATGATATAATAAACTCAATATAAAAATATAAAAGTGAAAACAGCTAAAATATTTTAAAAAGTACCACTGGAGAGGTATACCTTATCACAACCATTTGTTATTATACATCTGCAGATAACAAGTTAAATCAATTGCAGAGCTTTTAAATTTTTTCTAGATGCTGTGCTATGTAGAAATGCAAAGGAGGTTGGGGGTATCAAGATGGCAGAATAGTGGCAGGATGGTCCAAACCATGTGGGGTGAATTTAATATTTAAAAAGGGTAGGAACTGCATGCCTGAGATAAAGCCATGGTAAAATCGCAACAGGAAACCCAGTGAGAACAGCAGAGACAGTACAGGTCTGTGCCAAAAGAGCAAATAGAAAACAAAATAAAACAGAGGCATGGATGAGAGGAGAGCAATGCCCCTGGTAAACTAGGGAGAGGGGAATCTGTGGGTCCATGGAGTTGCAGATAGCAGCAGGGCGGGTGCTTAGAAAACTACTTTTGAAGTTCACATGAAAAAAAAAAAATAAACAAACATGGAGGTAGTGTACCTTCACCCACTCTGCAGGGACCCTCAGCTGACAGGAGAAGCCATTTTGCTGCTTTGTTTTTGTTTCTTTTTAATTTTTGGACTCACACAGGTGGCTGCCACCCCTGCCTCCCATGTATGTGCCCAGCAATAGAGGGAGTCACTTCACCCCCCTCCACTCAAACAGTGAGGGACACAACAATTCAGACAAATTCCTTCCGTCTCCACGCAAGATTTATGGCAAGGGGACACCCCACTTATTGAAATCTCATACATTCCCACCCCATTGAGAAGTGAGCCTTCCAGTAGCCCCTCATGAGAGAAGGAACCGTGCCCAAACCCACAACCCATAGACCTCTAGCCCCTCATAAGAGAAGGAACCGTGCTCACAGAAAGATGACATGGATCAAAGGTTTGGTTCATTAAGCAGTACGAACTAGTGCTGAACACAATGAGGACTAACACCAGGGTATCCTGCAGCTCCAGGGAGAAGGATGGATCACACCAACAGAGGTGAATACCCTCCTGCATCCGGATAACCAGAGGATAGCTACAAAGCCCCACAGGAGCCTTACCCTGGATACGTGCTCCACCCTGGATACTGAACAGAGCAACCTGGCCACGCACAGCACACACCTCCTTGTACTCACTGAAAGCATAGACATTTCACTATGACACAAAGAAACAAACCTAAGATAAATGCAACCAGAAAAGCATATACAAATGCCAAAAGACAATTGAAGAAAATTAAATAAGGCAGACACTATAAGGAACACTACAACACTTCAATAGTAGAAGGTGAAGATGGAAAGACTGAGTATATACCAGAAATGAAATTCAGAAAATTAATCATCAGATTACTTAGAAACAATCAGAAACAAATACTCAAACTAAATGAAATTTTTCCCATAAAATTGAGGTATTAAAGAGATGTCAGAATGAAATATGAGAAATGAGGTCTGTGCTGTGGCACAGTAGGTTAATCCTCCACCTGCGGTGCTAGCATCCCAAATGGGTGCAGGTTCTAGTCCCGGCTGCTCGTCTTCCAGTCCAGCTCTCTGCTGTGGCCCAGGAAGGCAGTGGAGGATGGCCTAAGTACTTGAGTCCCTACTCCCACATGGGAGACCAGGAGAAGCACCCGGCTCCTGGCTTCAGATCAGCGTAGCTCTGGCCATAGCGGCCATTTGGGGAGTGAACCAACGGAAGGAAAACCTTTCTCTCTGTCTCTCCCTCTCACTGTCTATAACTCTACCTGTCCAATAAATAAATAAAATACTAAAAAAAAGAAATATGAGAAATGAAGAGCTCAATAGACCAAATAAAATATGCAATGGAAAGTCTAAACAACAGGGTAAGTGAGAAAGAAGAAAGAATATCAGAACTAAAAGAGAAATTTCTTGAAATTTCATAGTCAGACCGAAAAAGAAAGAAGAAATTAGAAAACTAAAAAACGCTGTTGGAGATCTGCAAGATAATATAAAATGGCCCAACATACTGATCATACGGGTTCCTGAAGGTGTAGAAAGAAAGAAAGGATTAGAAGGCCTCTTTAATGAAATAATAGCAGAAAACTTCTCCAATTTGGAGCAAGAAAGGGACATCACAGTACAGGAAAAACACAGAACTTCCAAAGACCAGAAAAGATCTTCACCATGACATATTATAGTAAAACTCTCCACAGTAAAACGTAAGGTACAGGTTCTAAAATGTGCTCAAGAGAAATGCCAGATCACTTTCAGAGGATCCCAGTTAGACTCACAGCATACTTCTCATTAGAAACCCTACAGGCTGCTGGCGCCACAGCTCACTAGGCTAATCCTCCACCTTGCAGCGCCGGCACACCGGGTTCTAGTCCCAGTCGGGGCACCAGATTCTGTCCTGGTTGCCCCTCTTCCAGGCCAGCTCCCTGCTGTGGCCAGGGAAGTGCAGTGGAGGATGGCCCAAGTGCTTGGGCCCTGCACCCCATGGGAGACCAGGATAAGTACCTGGCTCCTGCCATCAGATCAGTGCGTTGCGCTGGCCGCAGCGTGCTGGCCGCGGCGGCCATTGGAGAGTGAACCAACGGCAAAGGAAGAACTTTGTCTCTCTCTCTCACTGTCCACTCTGCCTGTCAAAAAAAAAAAAAAAAAAAAAAAAAAAAAAAAAAAAAAAAAAAAAAAAAAAAAAAAAAGAAAAAAAAAAAAAGAAAAGAAACCCTACAGGCTAACAGAGAATTGTAAGATATATTTCAAATCTTAAGAGAAAAATGAAACTCTTAACCCAGAATACTGTATCCTGCAAATATCTCATTTATGAATGAAGGTGAAATAAAGATTTTACATAACAAACAGAAATTGAAAGAATTTGTAACTACCTTCCCACCACTACAAAAGGCACTCAAGGTTGTGCTACACACAGAAACAAAGAAAAAGGAAAATCACTACAAAAGAAGGTGAATGTAGAAAATTGCCCAGTAAAAGTACAAAGAAAACTCAAAGTAAAAAACAGGACTATTAACATAAATAAGACAGAGCAAATTTATTACTTAACAATAGTCACCCTAGATGTAAATGTTCTCAACTCTCCAGATAACAAACACAGATAAGCTGAAAGGATTAAAAAAAACATATCTATTTGCTGCCTAAAAGAAACACATCTCACCAACAAAGTTACATACAGACTGAAAGTGAAAGAACCACTATATTCCTAAAGTTGTACTTATGAAATTTGTACTCATTAACTAAAGTTATTTTTTGGGAAAAAAAGGCATATGAATTAGAAAGGAAAAAATAAAAATATTATCATAAAAAAACACCCTTTCATGATGTAAAACTCTAAGCAAATTGGGTATTGAAGGAACATTCCTTAACACAATCAAGGCAATTTATGACCAACCCAGGGCCAGCATCCTATTGAATGGGGAAAAGTTGGAAGTATTCCCACTGAGATTCAGAACTAGACA